GGGCCTACGCTTGAGCAGCGACCACGATGCTGGCTGAAAGCGAGAGCGCTGAACTTGGAAGGGGGCTGGAGGGCCAGACCGGAAACTCCGGGAGATAAACGAAGGCTTCTGGAACAAGATGAGAAGATGAACAAGCTGTTTGCTGTGAGCATGGACATATTGTTTCAGAAAATTCACTTCAGCTGCCGAAGTAACCCATTTAGAACACACGAGGAACCCCACTGGGAGTCCACATGCAGGCTCGGGGCTTGTGTGTGATGTTCTATGGCAAGTCTGTGCCAAGGGTCTCTGAGCTCAGCGCACAGAGAGGAACTGGAGGCTCAGAAAGTAAAAATTAATGTCCATATTGAAGTACAGCAGCACCTTGGTTCAGTGAACAGTTTGGTTTGCAAACAGAAGCATTTGGCAAAATTTTGTTCTTGTTAGTGAGCTCTGCTTTGGGAGATGAACACAACCACAGCCATCTTTCTGCACGAACATGAACGTGGCCATCTGTTCCAGAATCACGGAATGGATTAAGTTTGCAGGCCAAGGTACCACTGTACCAGCAGGAGACTGGCTTGCGTTCCAAACCAACACCTCTGTGATACCAAGCTCAGGCTGGCCCTCATGCCGTCCTGTGTCCCTCATGTGACAGGCCACTATGGAGAAGGCAGCCTGGCAGGTATTATCTCCATCGTGGATGTCCCACTGCCTTTCAGCACCCACAGTCCCCGTGGTGCTGAACAGATGAGGCATCTTTGGCCTTCCTGCTCTCTGTGATCTTCAGAAGATTCTCTGTGGATGTAGTGATCCCAGGTTAGTCGAGGTCTGTGAAGGACCTTCTCAACCGTCTTCCCAAGGCAGGAGTCTCGCAGGAAAAGACGAGGCTGAGACTTGTCAAAGGAGAGGGAGAGGTGGCTTAGCAGGAAGGAGCAGGGAAAGGTGCCTACACCTTTCTAAACTAAGGACTGGAATTGAATCTCCAATCAAAGGTCATAAAAAAAGGAGCAAGAAAGAAAAGGAGACTAGCAGAAAAGACCATGAGAAAAGGCCAGGAAAAGGAGCAGAAAACACCGCTGTGTGCTCTCAGCATGTGCCTGAGAACGTGGCCAGGTGGGAGGAGATCCCAGCAGCACAGGGTAGCTGTGGCCTGGGCTGGGCTGGGGGCGGGGGGAGGCGTGGGCATCGTGGCTACCGCTGAGCTACTTTCCCAGCAAGAGCCCTGGGTGTGACTGAGGGAGGGACTGTTGTTTTTGTCCATCCATTGCACTTGAGGGGCGCAAGAACAGGATTTAGGGGATACTTTAGCCTTAAATTTAAAACTAGCTATTGTCATGAAAATGCATGTGATTCTTATTCTGTGAAAGGATCAATAATTTATTAATATCTGTGGGAAGTAGGTATTTAAGGAAACAGGTTACACATTTGGCTACATTTATTTTCCTGTTTCACTTGTAACACACTCTCTCCATCTTTGCCTTAATCCCCCGCACTGAATAATGTAAAAGAAAATTTAGACGTTATACTTTCATGTCCATAAATGCTGGACTCTGCATCTCTGAGAGAAAGATAATGAAGAACAACAATTTATCAGGATCACACTAGGAATATGAAAAATTCCTTAATATCATCTAATATTCAGCCAGTGCTCAAATTTCCCTCATTACTATCCAATTTGATTGAAACAGGAAATAAAAGACTGCACACATTATTTGGTATACACACACACACACACACACACACACACAGTTGTCTCTCTCCACCTTTCTCTTGTTATTTACTATTTGAAGAAACTGAACTGTGCACTGTAGAATTTCTCCACTGTGGATTCGGGTGCCTGCACGAACAGTGCTACAGCTGTTCTTCTGTCTTGTGCTGTGTGACCTGGTGATTAGATACAGAGGTTTTATCAGCGTAGGTTTGTTTCGGCAGAAATGCTTTCCATTTGTTGCTGTGTCACCAGGGCGTGGGGAGGCTGCTCCCGTCCTGCATGGATATGAAGGCTCATAGTGGGAAATCTCCATTTCTGCCTAATGGGTTTGCCAGCTGTTCATGGTCACTGTCATCATCACTGTTTTATTAGGGTTGGGAGATGGTGATTGTCTAACAAAGTAGTTCCTGCTGTCTATATTACCTAGAGTTTTTCCATAGAAAAGAACTTTTGGCCATGAGCTGATTGGTTCCTCCCAAAGACAATTTGTGTAAGAGTCCAGGCGGATGCTTTTTCTTTTCCATCAGTTTTTGGAATAATGATGTGGTGTGCAGTCTTTCTATCACCATGCACTCCTGGATTTTAACTTCTTTAATGTTTAGTTTCATTGCAAGTGCTGTTCTTTTTGATGCTTTCATTGTCCCATTCCTGGTGAGAGAGAATCCTTTCAAATTCACTATGTAGCCCAGGCTGGCCTTGAACTTGTGGTAATCCTCCTGCCTCAGCCTCCCAAGTGCTGGGATTAGAGGTGTGAGCCACCATGCCTGGCTGTAGGTGGTTTTTTTGGAAATCAAAGAAATATGTGTTTCTTTGGGCTAGAAAGTTCACACTCCTTTTTATTTGAAGGAAAATAATACATTATTAATTCATGCTCTTGTGTTTCTAGTCAAATATAAGATTATGGGAGATTTCATTTAACTTTAGAAAAATTTTATGTTGACTTTCTTTATGTTCACACTCAAAGTTCTTGATTTCTAATGATATTTGGGTGAGTGTAGTTTTAAAACAACATCAACAGCACTGCTTATTTTTAATAAAAAGTAAGACTCTTGGATACTGTTAAAAAAAGTAAAACAATTCTTCTCTATGCAGTTAAACTACTAACCTGACACATAGCTAGGTTCATTTTTTTGGTTTTGATTTGCAAGGCTTTTTTCCCATCTTGGTTTAGCCTTATTTTGTAATTATATAACATAGCTATTGGATTTCAAATTCAGAACTATAAAGCAAGTGTATTTAGAGAATCTAGCCTCCATTCCTGTCTCTTGTTTCTTATTTTCTATTTCTTTCATCTATTTTAAAATTCAATTGTGTTTTCGTTGCATTTTTTAACTAAAACAGGTACAGGCATATGTGCCCTGCCGCCTTTCTTAGAGCATCATCCTCTACTCACTGTGTGACAGCGTGCGAAGACTTGCTTACTCAGCACTGAACGGCTCTCTGTCATGTGGTGTCGTCACAGCTCACTCAACCTGTCCCCCTTGGAGGGGTTCAGGTTTATTGCACCTTTTACAAATTGTGTTGTAATGAACAGCTCCATACATGCGTCATTTTGTGTGAGGTGGGGACAAATTGAATGAATGTAGCAAAGTCTCCATGACACTAGTCTGTGTAGACTCCTCACTTCGTATATGGATATTTCTTGATGCTTGTTATGGGCCAAAGCCTGTGCTAATTTGGGGGAAAGGGTCAGAAAGAGCAACGGGTGAAGCAGGCGTGATCTTTGCCCTCTGGAACCCACAACTTAGTGTGGCAGCGCATGATTGCACATGGGGACAGCTGTACAATTAAAAGCACATCAGTGAGGGGCTGGGGATTTAGCTCAGTGGCAAAAGCGCCTGCCTGGCAAGCGCAAGGTCGTGAGTTCGGTTCCCGGTACCGGAGAAAAACCAAAAAAAAAAAAAAAAAAAAAAAAGCACATCAGTGATACAGGAAAATGATGCTGGAGGGGCCCTAAGTGACACACATCAGCAGGAAGTCACCAGGAGGAAATGACCATTTGGTGGGCTTTTGGGAGGTAGGGAGGTCAAGCACAAGCGGGGTAAAGAAGTGGAAGGAAAAAGTGCCTGGCAGAACGACAGGAGGGACCAGAGTGCCCAGGCAGGAGAAGGGTCCCAGGACAGGCAGCAGAAGGATAGTGAGTCTGGATCCTGTGGTGAGGAGGAGGGCAGCAGGAGATATGACTGGAAGTGCAGGGGATAGGAGACAGTGGTCTGAGGGTCTTTGAACGTCCTGGATTAAGGATGCACTGTAGAGTCTATTAAGTTTTATTAAGTGGTATGATCCATGCATCCTTCAGTAAATATTAACACTTTGAATCTCCAGGAGGCTCAGGGAGGGATAGAGCAGAAGCTTAGTGACAGTGAGGACAGCTGCAGTGCCCAGGAGATTCAAGATTGTGTTCATTCATGGGGTGGAAGGGTGGGGTGGCAGGGCAGGTGTGGGCTGAGTCCCACGGACCATTGCAGGGAGGCCTGTGCTGGGTAAGCAAGAAGCGGGTGTCAAAACAGCCCATGGTCTTGAGTGCAAGCAGCTGGCATCCTGAGACGGATAACTTGGAAGGACCAGACTGGGGAGAGAAGCCATCAATTCTGGGGCAATTTGAGATGTCTGTGAGAAACATGAGTGTAGGCTCAGGGAGGCTACCTGGGTTTGTGTACTGGGAGTGCCAGGTTGCGTGCTGGGTTTGGGTTCTGAATGTGTCACCTGGAGGTGGTGGACACACTCAGACAGGAACAGATCCTCCCTGGGCAGGGGCACCGAGAAACAGGGCCAGGAACTCTATCTGAGCAACTCCAGCCCTGAGGGCTCGGGGGCAGTGCGGTTGAGAAGACGGGGTTGTTCTTGGCAATAGCAGCAGTGAAAGTTGACTTTCCCTAATAATTTACATTCATAACGTTTTAGAACAAAAGAGATCTAAAGATATGTAGTCTGGCTCCCCAGTGTAACTGAGAAGAAAAGAACTGGGGAGTTCTTACTGTCTGCCAGCCGGCACGACCTGCCTGTGCAGATTGCCCTTGGAAACACGGACTCCTCCCGAAGCAGGAAATAATCAACTCAGTTCTGCCCATGATTCTTGAGTGATTTCATCAAGATATAACTATATAATTCACACTTGCTAATTTTTTTCATCTGCAAAATTAGTGCCAGTCCTTAAGCTAATTCTCTGTGGCGAGTGTAACTCAAGTAGAAAAGTAAGCTTGCAAATGCAGGAAGCAAATGGAAAGAAAAGCTGAAATCATCATGTAGTCTTGGGAGGCCTTCTCTAAGGTGAAAGATGGTTTCTCTTCCCTCATCTCCCAGGAGGACACCGTCATCCTCTCTTGCCGTGGCGGAGCTGTCTGGGAACATGGGTCTTCCTGGTCCTGGTGCCGAAGACTGTAGGGAGCTGATGTAGCTGGAGGCAGTGTCACTAACACTGCTCACTGCAACCCCTTCCCTGTGGCGTGTGGTGGGACTGCACTTCTCAGCCTCCTGTGGGTGGGCAGAGCCAGGTGACGACTCCTGTCAGTGAGTTATGAGTGGAAATGATCTCTACCTCCAGGCGAGAGCTGTTAGTCCATAATGCAAGACTCCCCACCTTCCTCTTGTCTTCTAGCCCAGTGAGTAGAACTTTTGCAACAATAGCTACACCCATAGGCTGATTCTGTGAGGAGCAGAGCTCCTCTGATAATCTCAAGTGAATATGTAGCATGAACAAGATATAAATGTTCGTTGTTTTAAGGCAGAGGTTTGGGGACTATTTGTTACTAGAACAAAACCTTGCCTATGCTGACGGGTATTTTAGGTATTCTACTGACTGCTTTTCAGGGGCAAAAAGACAGTCCATGTATTTAGTTCTTCAAGGGCAAGTGGACACCTCCATGTTCCCTGATTGTGGAATATTATCCTCAAAGGAATTTCACACACCAAGGTAGGAGTCTTGGGATATCCATGATGGTTTTTTCTGTGGGTAAAGTAGAGGCCAATAGATGGGCCTTCTTCCAGGGAGTGGACTAAGGGAGGGAGAGTGCTTAAGGAGTAAAAAGACAAGAAAGTGACTAACAGCAGAAAACACTTGCCATCAGGAAGGGAAGAAGGGAAGGGAGGTGATCAGAGCTCTCAGGGAGCACACTCCCTAAATGATTGTGACATTTCCTTGAAGTTCATGGAATTGTTTCTTTTTATTTCTAGTCTCTTCCTCCAAAATCTGGAAGAACAAGGACCCATTTCATACCCAGTAAGGAAAGGGCCAGGCCTAGCAAAAGTAAAGGACAGCAATTCATGGCAAGTTTGAGACAAAAAGAGTTCTGCAGGACCACCTTGCACAGAGGGTGCCTGGAATATAACCACCCAGTGTGGGAGGAATTGGGGTTCCAGTGGCCCCTCTTTCTTGGGCCTCTGTGATTTCTGAGAGAAAACCCAGAGGCAAGCTCTGTAATTTGCCAAATCTGGTGTATTAGTCACTCTTTCATCACTGGGACAAAGTTCCCAACACCAGAAACTTAAAGGAGGACAGGTTTACTTTGGCTCCCATTTCAGAGAGTTTAGTCTGTGGTCAGCTGGCTCCAAAGCAGAAATGGCATGGCAGGGGGGCTTGGCAGAGAAAAGCTGTTCAACCCATGGTAGCCAGGAAGCAGAGAGGGAGGGGAGGAGCTGGGGATAAAAACACATCATTCCGGGTCACACACCTTTGACCACCTCCAACCAGGACCACACTTCCTAACTCATCAATGGATGGCCCACTGATGAATATTACACACCCATGACCTAATAACCTTCCCAAAGCCCCACCTCTGAACACATTAGACTTTTGGGGACATTCTAAATCTAAACCACCACAGTAAGGGTTCATGAAGGAAGCCACAGAGAAGGTAACCCTTAACCATATGCCCTTTGGGAGGCAGCTTGGCTTTTCCACACAGCTGCTGAGATATCACACATCTTTCCCACCAAGGTGGCTGGGTTCCCTGCACAGCCACAGACAGGACCCCCGGAGGAGTCTGGGCCAGCACTCCCCAGAGCACTAGCAGGACATTTCTTTAGCTCTGCCAGAGAAAGTCCATGAAGGCTGGTGGCTCATGCTGATGGGCATTCTCCGGACTTGTCTCCTCATTTCCCGGGCTCACTTTCTGCCCCTTCCTATCAGCTACCGACCAGTAGCACTTCCTTTACACATGGTACCTGTGGTATCTGTTTTGGTTGTTAAAATAAAATATTTGAGGATGGATGCTTTACAAAGAAGAGAAGTTTATTTAGCTCAGATTTGGAGGCCGAAAGTACAAGACTAGGAGGCCCCACATTTTTGGTGGCCCCATCTCCTTGGCCTGTTGTGTAGGGGCCCTGGCTGCTGCTTCACCACATGGTTGATGGATGGCATCATGGTGGGAGCATCAGAGACAGAGAGAGAGAGAGAGAGAGAGAGAGAGAGAGAGAGAGA